CTGTTATTCATGTACTTTCTAAAAAATATTCAAATTCATTTAAACAATTGTTCTATCGAATGTACCTTATCTATATAAAATTGCTTTGACATTTAAACTCGGATCACAATTTGTAATTCGTGTCAATTACCAAAAAGCCCTAATTGTTTCGAGTAGCGCGAATGGGATCCTAATGGTCCGCCGTTAGAAAGAGAGAGGGGAAGCCGATAGCGATAGAAAGTCAAAACTCGTCGATCACGTATTTCCAAAGGCGGCGGGGGCGAACGGACGATCGACGAAGTCGCGCGCATTTATTCGTGGCCGATCACTTTTTATTGATGTACCGCCAACCGAGGCGATTTCGTATGCGCAACGAAATGGCTTCGAGGAATCTGTCATCGGTCATTTATGACGCATCGTGCCGAACCTGTGTGCCGATCGTTACGACAAACACGATGCCGATCGGGACACATGCCCTCTCTATTCTTGGCCCCCGCGACGCGATCAGAAACGACTCACTTGAATTGTTTGCCTCTCCTTGGTTCGGCTCTCTAAGCTTTCTCCATCCATTCTTGTAACGTCTATTGATTTTTAGATCACTCTCTTAATTAAACTTAAAAATTTATAAGATGTCCGTTATATTTTTCAACCGTAAATTAACTTAGACTCATTACTCCTCACCGGCTGATGGCTAATAATTTCGTGGATGTTGTCTGGCGATCCAATTACACTCAGAATTAAAAATTATGTGTTCAAACTATTTACTCGTTCTCAATGAATAGAATTTAGCAAATCGATAGTCTGGTGGACGTCTTCATTCAATATCCAAGACTACGATCACTGTCATAACGTCAACCGTTCCTCGAGTTTCCGTATTTAGATCGTTTCCAAGTGACCAGGTAACTGATCTTATATAAACTGAAATAAACGGTTTTCATTCACCGACTTGTCACGTCCGTTCTACGTGGTTGCCACTTAAGAAATGATCGATCGTTCGTTCGTTCGTCCGTGTAATTCTATTTGCGGGTCGTCTGGACTGATTTTAAACGAGTTGCGATGAGTCTTAAAGCGGTTTTCATCTATCTAATGAGATTCTTAATTGTGTCACTTGGATCACGGAAACATGTATGAATGTATCGTTAAAATTCTGTTTTTAGTTTTAACTGGAAAATTTGATTCACCATATCGTATTAATAATGCAAAAAATTGTATGCTATCAGAAGTTTGTAAAATCTAACTTACGTTTACTCATACTTAAAAAAGTCTTATTAAGCTAGTCTATCAGAATGACAGAAACAATTTTAAAAAGTGCTTAACTAACTTTGAATTGCAGAGTAGCTCAATCATCTGGCGCACGAAATGAACTGCGGCAATGGAACGTTCAGAAATAGAACACGTATCGATCGCGAATTAAACTAAAATTATTCGATGAATGGATTCTGGTTTGTGGAATGAATGAAATTTTCTGCCTAGAACTTAGAACAATAGTGTCTTAAAGAATGATAGATGAATCAATTACGACATAAGTGGAAACAATGCATGCAATAGTTTGACAGTATTAAGGATGTATTGGCTATACAGTCAATCCCAAAAGTTTATGTACCTTAGAAGAACGCATTTCGTATAATGAAAAAGATATCAGATGTCGGAAAAACAATGCTAATAATAAATAGCTACGTGCTAAAAAGTATAGAAGGAAATATCCAATTAATTATTGACGTATATACAAAAGTTGTAGCTATTGACGTGTTCTACACGAAAGATTTTATGTATTTTTCTTCTAATTTGAGTGTTTGACGAGTTAAGTATGATTATTTGGCATTTTATTGGCATTGACGAAATCCGACCGTCCCACCGTCGAAATAGCCAACTTTTGACAAAAAATTTCGTTTTTCCTCAATAACTCCTAAACCGTTGGTCGTACGGGAAAATTGCATAAGACCTTTCTTGTAGAGGACGATGAGATCTACAATTTCTGTATAAAATTTTTTCGCTAGCATTAATATTTAACGAGTTATGGACGAAAAACGACGAAACAGTTTTTTGCAAATTACTCGTTAACTATTAACGCTAGCGATAAGTTTTTATACGGAAATTGTAGATCTCGTCGTCCTCTACAAGAAAGATCGTATGCAATTTTCTCGTAGATCCAACGGTTTGGAAGTTATTGGCAAAAAACGAAAATGTCGCAAAATTTGAAGGGGTACCC